CCCTAATAGGTATCAAGATCCTGTTTTGTGGGCGTGGCTTGAATTTTATTTCACCCTTAAGAGGAACCACTTCTAAAGCAACGCTAATTAAGCGATAGGTACCTAATAGGTACCGCCAAAGCTCCCACTGTAAACTTTTTGGGAGCTGATAATGTACCAAACTGCCTTTTTCAACCAATAAAAGGTACAACAAGCACCCCTGTGCCTTTTATATGGGAGTCCCCCCTAACCGCCAGGAAAGCTGACACCCATATTAAGAGTTGGTAACCACATTGTGATAAAACAGATTTGAGTCGCTTACTTCTAAATAGAACGCTTTTACAGGACGTCATCAGATCTTAAAATCCAAAATTAAGGAGCCACCAGAGTCTGTATCGTCATTAGGATAAGGGATGCTAAATTTATATTTGTTTACAACTTTTCAGCTCAACAGCGTGCTTCGTTTGGAAACCAGCGCATTTTGAATTTCAGAGTTATGGAGATGCATACATTCAAGATCATGTTTGTCAAAGAAATAATGTCTCGTGGTTTTCAGCCATTTAAGAAGTCAGAGTTTTAGGAAAAGTGTTTATGCAAACCTTTGCTTGTTCAGTAGAGATAATCAGTCCCCTAGCTAATCAAACAAGGTTCCAAATGTTTACATTATGTTCCGGCCGCTATGTTGGTTGGCCAATATGGCCGTTCATAACGGTCTCTATAAAATTGTACGGAACATTTTCACGAATATTTTTATTTATCTCCAATTATATCACATTTTCATCTACTAAAGAGTTTTCTATTTAATTTTTCATTGCGTGACAGTGAAATTCACTTATAAGTTTAGTTAGTTACATGCATCAGCTAGAAATTAATGTTGTGTTTTCCTGAAAGTGATACTACTTAACAATTGATTTTGTTTTCATTATTCTAGTGGTTGAAGAGCATAAGGTTGATCATTTTTCGAGCGACGATAGTCATAATTTTCTGCAATGATATTATAAAGCCAACAGACAGTACAGAACCTGTTGCAGTGTAAATAGACATTTCATTTTTCATTACCATTTTAAAAGATGGTGTTGTGATTTTAAGCTGATATATTTCCAAGCAGAGTAACCTGACGTCTTATCGACTATTACGACTATTACTGCAATGTTTTTGTGGACTAATTAAGTAATCAAAGCTTGTTGCTTTATATTCGACTAAATGTTTAAAGACAGCTGTACGAGGGTACACTCAACGCCAGACCCCAGATAAACCGTTTCCTTAATTAAGACGTGTTCTGGGGAAAATATCGCTATTCCAAAGAAAACAAAATCAAATATTCGATACAAGGTCACGCAACCAGAATATATTGCACTAAAAAAGGTTATGTGGGAAATAATTTGATTTTCTACATCAAAGTTATGGTCACCTGACCATGGCCAGCTGTTTTGTAACAGCATTCATTTTGCTGATTTGTTCCGGCGTTGTAAGATCCTCCCCCTCCCCCACAGGAATCAAACTC